ATGAAACAGAGCTGCTTCTGTTTCCAGCTGTATGACCACCAAGTACTCCACAGCACACTGGTCCATACATAAATAGGAAACACCCTATGGAAAATGATGACATTTCTGTATTATTGATACCACAATTTCCTCTCCCTGCACCACTGAATCCACTCAGAAATAAATCTATGATATGTTAAACCACTACAATTTTGGAACTGTTTGTTACTGCAGCATAGATAGCCTCTCCTGCCTTATACAGTACCTGATAACTTGTGGTTTGTATTAAATGAGATAATCCATATAAAGCACTCAGCACAACCCATAGCACATAGTAAGTGGACCTGAAAAATTGAAGTAAGTGATGATTCTTCATTACTTAAATATTGTTTTCCTCTAAAATACACAAGAATGAATCAGATATTAGAATTACCTGGCAAGGATTTTAAAGCAGCCATCATAAAAGTGTTTCAACAAGCAATTATAAATATCCTTGAAATAAGTGAAGCACTAGGATATCTCTGCAAAGAAATAGAAGTTACTAAAAATGAAAAATTTCTAACTGAGAAGTATAGTATAATAACCAAAAGAAATAACTGACTGGATGGGCTCAATAGCAGAGTGGAGATGACAGGGGAAAGAACCAATGAACTTGAGAACAGATCAATAGAATTTACCCAATCTGAACAATAGAGAGAAAGTGACTAAAAAAAATTAATAGAGCTTCAGGGATCTGTGGGACAATAACAAAAGAGTTAACATTCATACTAAAAGTCCCAGCAGGAGAAGAAAGAGTGGAAGTGAAAATTTATGCAAACAAAGAAATAATGGCTCAAAACTCTCCAAATTTGGTGATGGACATAACCCTACAGATTCAAGAAGCTGAGCAAACTCCCAAAAAGACAAATCAAAGAAATTCACACCAAGAGATATTATAATTAAACTTCTGAAAACTTAAGTAAAAACACACACACAGCCCTGGCTGGTTTAGATAAGTGGTTAGAGCATCAGCCCACTGACCAAAGAGTTGCAGGTTCAATTCCTGCTCAAGGGCACATACCTTAGGTGCAGGTCCCTTTCTATCGGGGCATGTGCAGGAGGCAACCAGTTTAGATGTCACTCTCACATGATGTTTCTCTCTCCCTCTCCTCCCTCCCTTCCACTCTCCCTAGAAATCAATGGAAAAAATATCCTCGGGTGAAGATTAAACTCACACACTTACACACTCATACACACACACACACACACACACACACACACACACACACACACTTGAAAGCAGCCAGGGAAATGTGACACATTACTTATGAAGGAGCACCAACTCAAATGACAATGCATTTCTCATTTGAATAAGAGGCCAGAAGTAAGTGGCACAGCATTTCTCAGAATCTGAAAGAAAAGAACTATCAATTGCAAATGCTGTATCTGGTGAAAATATCCCTCAAAAATAAAAGGGAAATAAAAAAACATTCTCTGATGAACAAAAACTAAGAGAATTTGTGGCTTGTAAACCTTTTCCTAAAAGAATGGCTAAAGTTTTCTAAACAGAAAGAAACAAAAGATAGATAACAAAAGAAGACTTAGAACTTCAAAAAGAATATAAGAATAGATGAAAAGGGGTACATATAGTAAATTATCCTTTCCATGAGTTTCTTAAATCATATTTGATAGGTGAAGCAAAATGTTTATTACCAAATGATGTGCTCAATGAATGTAAATATTTAGGACAACTGTGTTTAAAACGTGGGGAGGGTAAAGGGACATACATGGAAGTAAAGTTTTTATACTTGATAAGAAGTGGTAAAATATCATGGATACCAAACACTCTGATAAATTATGTATATACTAGAGGACCAGTGCACGAATTCCTGCATGGGTGGGTTGCAGCTGATCATGGCGGGACTGACCAGGGGGCGGGGCCCTGGGAGGTTGGCTGGCCAGCCCCACCCCCAATTGGGGTGGGGGGTGATTGAGGGCAGGGCCGGCCAGGGGGGTTGGGGAGAGGGGCCACGGGAGGTTGGCCCACTGGCCCTGCTCCACTG